GTGTGAATGAGAGAGTGAATGGTTGTTTGTCTCGTTTGTCTCTCTGTATCCCTGTGATGGACTTGTGACCTGTCCAGGGTGTACTCCACCTCTTACACAGTGATAGTTGAACATGGGCACCAGTGACCCCTGTGACCTGAAAAGGAAGAAGCAGGTGACGATAATGGTGTTGGGTTTTTCAGCCTCTCTCTACCAGGTTCCTTAAGGCATGGGTAGCACCGGTGAGCAGCTGCAGCTAGAGACCATTTGCCTAATTGGTGCCAGGGCTGCTTAAGGCTTCAGTTGAGCTCCAGTCATTGCTGGAGCATTGTTCTACCTGCTGGTATATATATGTTTCCATCCTAGTATAGTATTTAGAAATTAAAATACTTACCTTGTTTTCTGCCTGCATATTTTCAGAGCCTTGATGTCTTGGATCTTGTCTCCTAACCTGGATTATTGGAGAAAACCTTGGAGAAACCTCACCTGTGGTTCTTGGCCCTCAGCTGCTCTCACACGCCTTCCACCTCTGCAGACTGCCTGGTCCTGTCGCTGTTGAAGAAAAACCCTCAGCCTTACTCACCCAACCGTCTCGACTCCTACGACTGTAAGATCCTCAGATTCTGGTCGATCATCTGTTGGGTTAATATTACCTGCTACAAAGTAATCCTCCTCCTTTGTCTCCACAGCCCCAGACCCTGCTTGTAAAAGAGTTTCCATTTTCACTGTAAATAAACATTTTCAATTATATTTGAGTCTGGTTCTGTTATCCTCTCAGTCTGTATTATCTGGGTTACCCTCATTATAACAAATCGATAGATGGACGTATTTGTATTATAAAATTACAGTAGTGTAGAAAAAGCTGAGCACAATCTAACAGTTACTAACTCTTGGAGCTGTGGGCACTTCCTTTTTCTTACACCAAATTAAAAGCTACACTATTTTTTCTTTTATTTATTTAAACACAATTCAGCTTGAGTTCAAATGTATTACTAAATGTATGTTTTGAGTTATTTTAAATATTTTTCTAAGTAAAAAATGTCCTAATGGTTCCTGTTTTCTATTGTGATAAATTATAGGGAACAAAAAATGTCAATGTCTACAAAAAGCCTCTTGGACATTTTGACTTTTCTGTCTTTAGAAATGCATTCATGTAAAGTCTAAAAAATGAATTTAAGACAATTAAGCCTTTTATCTTTTAATGTAGCAAAAGAGTGAAGCAGTTGATTTTTATTTATTTATTTATTTTTTGCTAAGGACTATTAGAGTTTTTTGACATTAATAATGACATCTTTAATGAGAGCTTTCCATCATTACATTAATTATAACCCTGAAAAGGATCATGCATTCAATTTTTATATTTACTTCTATTTTTCCATGCGTTCTTGATAAAACGACATAAACGCACTGATAAAAAGGTTAATCACTCAGACAGAATGATAAAAATGCAACTGGAAGCCCATGTTTGGAGATTATAAAATAAGAATGCTATGACTAATGCATATACTGCATATCAAATGGATCACAAAGTTGACAGTGCAAGTGCACTGCTGGCCCCATGTCAATAAAGTATGACCTCTTGGCAAGGCTGGATACAAGTTGCAGTTTGATACAGAACAGAGCCATTATAACGCTTGTTATAACATCTCTGAAGGCTAGTCATTCCACAGTTTTATTACTCGTTCTCAGTATCAACACTGGGTCAGAGTTGAAGTCCAAGCTGATCTTTATGTTCAAATGGAGAGAGATTAGAATATTTTACTGGTGATGGGAAGTTCTCAATGTGAGACATACAATCCATAGACTTGTACCACATGTAGATGGATAGTGTATTGTTGAAAACCAGTACAGGGTGCTGCTTCAAAAGAGGTGAAACTTGTGGTTGAAGGATGCAACAGACATACTGCGCTCCCAAACTCCTCTGAATCACAACTTGAGGTGGCCTGAAGACAAACTTCATAGATGCCTAAACCATGTTGCCAGGTGAAATGCTGGTGTGTCTCTCCACAACTTTGGCAGGATTGCTTCTCTTCCACACACAGCTAAACACCCGCATAATGGTTATCTGTGCAAATCATATCCCTGGTCCATTAATTACCAGAATAGAACAATCTCCATGTCTCACTGCTACAACATCAAGTTCAGCCACTTCTCCTTTGGCGCTAA